CGTTTGCTTTATTAAATTAATTTTTTCCTTATATATGTAGTTTTGATTATATAACATTGGATAAATTTTTGCATCTAAACACGTGTGTAAATGTTAATTTTTCCAGTACAATGTTTATTCAATGTTTAATTTAAGTGGTTCATAAGATTATTTTAACTCTTGTGTTGTCAGTAATGTGTTTGCTTTATTATACGCTTTTGTATTTCATCAGTGCCGTTCCTGTTATATATCCATCACTGAATGTTTAACTGATTCTGAGAACGCCTACTACAAAATGTTTCCTGCCATTCTGTAAGTGACGGCTTCCGTGTTGTTTCGGATACTGTTGCAAAGAATGGGTGGGTTTGAAGGACCTTAGTGACCCTGCAACTGTCCGGCCAGAAAATTCGTCAAAAGAGTCGAATAAAATTGAGAAGTTTGTAACAGATAACGAAAATAAGGGTGTGTTGGGGAGAGCGGCAAAAGCCAAATTATAGGCGCCGCCTGAAAGTTGGTAAAGTCTATGTAGATGAGCACATAAAAGACTATGTGTGTTGTTCATCCAATTGAGTGGGTCAGGGCTTGACCTTCATTGCACCTATGATAGAACTCTGACCTTGAGACTAACTGACATATTCTCCTTCAGCGGCGGCTTCAAGTTCAAGTTCCAGACTTATTTGCTGATGCTATTGATGTAGATTATCGTATACAACAAGGGTCAAAGTTCGGGCGGCGCTTATTCTTGGTCTCCGTTAAAGACCTAGCGTGTATCATAGAGTCAAATTTCCCGCTTTTGCTGAAGTCATCCAGATATACCGAGCGATCCGTTGTCAGGAGAATCACAATACGCCGCAATAGAACTTAGATCGCGCTTTTGAATGGTCAAAGGCAAATACAGTTCCGTTCAAGGCGCACAAGTGAAATACTGTACCTGTACGCCACTAGCCTACTTACGCATATAAGCTCGGAGCCCAAATGTTGAAAACTGCCTCATAAGTGCGCGACATTTGGGTGGTGATGTAATACGATTCGGTTGTTTAATGCAATTTTTGAAGGTGCAACAAACTGCGAACTAACGCGTTGGGCACTTAAGAACAGAGTTCAGGCTGGTTCATCCCACCATATTCCCTCAAAGGCTTAATGCATATGTAAGGCACTGGGTAGAGTATATGATCCAGACCTGGCAACTATGGTTGAAATATGATCTGGTTGCACTGTAGAGCTCACAAGGAGGGGTAAGCAAAAGTGTACAGAGATGGTTCCATCTGTCAAGCCAATTGCGACTGAAATCCCTGGCAGTGTGCAACGGAAGTTATCGCCGGGCACGGGGCAACCTCATCCTGGCGTAAAAGATCTTGAAAGAGCCCGCCACGGTTGCCACTACTTCCTGAAACGGCTGCAACAAAACAATGTGGGGTTACCGGCTGAAACTTTCCTCCCAGTACAGTCAGTCGACTTGAGTGCCTCCGGAATTATATTTCCCTTCGAATTAGTTAATCGTAGAACGCTATTGCGAATTTAGTCATTTCTGCGCCCAAGCTATGCACCTTTAAAACGTGACTCGATGGTGCATTACACCATCTGCATTGCATGGGCAAACGTTGTGCTCATCGACCCTCACGAAATCATCAGCAGCAGCAGCATTATACAGTTTAACTACAGGTGGAAAACACCTCAGCTATTTTGCCGCAATACAAAAGACAAGAAGAAAAAACAGAGGCACGGCGGCTGCGTCTCGAGTAACGGATGAGCATCGTTCCGGTGAGCTAATAGCCGAATATCGCGCCGCATAAAGTGAGTTAGATTATGTCTTACAAAGGAGATCTTGACTGGAGGGGACTAAGCAGGATGGAATGCAAAAAAAACTCACAACACAAACACCATTGGGACTGGCTCCAAACTTGTTCATCCTCCTCAGGGCCCCAGCCCAACAGTCGGCAGACACTAACCAACGCCGACTGCGAAATGAGGGTTTCCATTTCTCTTGACCAAGTCATCGCTTGGCCTCCCCTCCTCCTGTTCCAACCCCACCTCCGGCCCGCAACCAATGCACGTCGCGGGAATTGGTGTGCTGGCATGCGCAACACGTGGCCCATCCATCGGAGTCTGGTGCGTAATATAATGGTGCTGAGCGGTTCACTAGCTCTTCCTGCTCCAAATACGCGACGCAGAACACGCTCATTGTTCACGCGGTGCGCCCACCAGACAGGAGCTAAGCTGCGGAGGCAGCGATGCTCGAACGTGGCTAGCCTTGACCTGATGGGTAAGGTTTCACAACTGTCTAAGAGGGTTGAACGGACGGCCGCATTATAAACTCTGCCCTTAAGGGCGAGAGTGATGTCGTGTCTACGCCACAGATGGCAGAGATTAGCAAAAGCACCCAGAGCTTTTGTTAAATAGTTCGTATTCTCAGCTTCGATCCTACGGGCGCTAATACATCTGCCCCAGTACTTGCATTCCTGCACGACTTTTAGCTGCTCGCCACCAAGTGTAAGCGAAGGGGTGGGTCCTGCCAAGCTTGGAGAATACCTTTGCATTTCGACGGAGCAAAGCATAGCCTAAGGCGATTGACAGTTAGTGCTAATCGGTCCAGTGCAGCGTGGACAGTTTGGGCGCTGTCACATCAGAGGGCAATGTCGTCCTGTCTAGGAAGTAGCTCCACACCTTCTAGTCCAGCGAACGCTGTTTTCATGACTCAATCAATAGCGAAGTTAAAGAGGAATGGTGATAGCGGGCAACCATGTCGCACACAACTGGAGATATTTAAGGGCGGCGACAGTTTGCCGTAAACCCTAACTCCGCCCAAAATATATGCGTACAGCGCTTCCATAATGCTTGCATAATTATCGGGCATACCTTTTCTCAGCAGACAGGCCCAAAGGGCAGATCGATTGACTGAATCAAAGACACCTTTGCTCTCGAGATACAGGACAACGTTGGGTCGCCAAAAAACATGGCGAGGGTCCAAAAATTGACGCAAATGAAGATGTGGTCAACGTAGCCTTGATTTCGACGAAACCCGACTTGCTCTTTGCGAATCTGGCCTTCACGAGCGCCAGGCAATCTGTGGAGAACGACGGAGGCAAACCACCAAGAGGCAGTTTTGACCAGAATGATGCCTCTAATATAACCGCTTTCTGAAAGGGAGCCTTCCTTTGTAAATTGGGACTATGTCGGAGCGATTCCAGTCTGTCGGGACAGTTTCTTGCTTCCAAATTCCATTAGCAACTCGTGTGATTCACCTACAAGAGCTGGTCCGCCGAATTTGTAGAGCGCTGGAGGGATTCTATCGGTACCAGCGGCCTTATGCAATTTAGACAATCTGAGTTCGCCTTCGACTTCTGCGCGTGAGGGCGGATCTAAGCAGACGGCCCATGGAGAATGGCACAATGCCCGAAAGAGAAAGCGATAACTCAGGTTGGTTAAACTGCGTGGCAAAGTTTTCGACCTAACGCTCCAAGTGTTTTGACAGTCTGTGGAGCGGCTGTCCACTCTCGTTGTGTATTGTCTCGCTAACGCCAGGTGTCCTGCTGCCTATTTACCGTAGCAGACGGACTACATTACGAGGATTACCAACGGCAGCGGCTGTGTTCATTTCCGAGGCAAGATGAGACCTCACGAAACCAGGGTACACGGTTATACTTGTTTGTTAACTCGGATAATATGGTGAGTCCACAGATGCGCGTGTCACTTGGGTGTACCTCCTTTTTTAGGCTTACCTAATTCACACAAGCCCTCCCACGGGACTTATCAAGCCTTGGATTTTATTCCGTATTATACCATTGTTCCATTGCACGAGGTAAACAATATTGTCCTTCGCATAGGTGTGGTAGTCTATGTTCAATGCCTTTTTGCTGCAATTCTTAGCTCGTGAACTGGTTCTACTATAGTGATGGAGCGCAATTTGTTGTCTGGCTAGTAGGCTTTTGCTACCTCAAGGTATATAATGGTTGCAGTGCATATCACATTTGATGAGGGTCTCTTGCCAAACCAGGTGAACTAATCCCTAATCCATGACGTAAGAAAGTAAAGCCAGTCAGGATGAAAAAAATTTCACCAGTTGCATCAAGAGAAATCCATGAGATCTGTACTAACGAAGAAGTGCTTCGAGTTGTTAGACAATCAGGCGTGAGATGACAAAATTACTGAGTGACTACCTTACTGAAGAGGGGGTTTATTATTATCCGTCCAGAGTCACTCGCTTACTTTTCCTGTGTCGCACTGCAATGGAGCATTGGTTTATGACAGGTATAATAGCCAATGATTGACGTGTCTCGTATGATAGTGAAGGTGAACATCGCAAAATAAAAGTTAAAATAACCGTGTCAGTAAAAGAACTTGTGAGGTACAGGACGCACCAAGGGGTTTGGAGTGGCACATAAGCGAGTATTCTTGCCTAAATTATAGGGGGTTTAGTTGCCGTCTACTATTCTGTCATACGCCAATGCCGTCATCTGATGTCCATGGGCTTTATCACGTAGTGTAAATATGTCAGAGGATCCTTAAGGCGTTATTTGAAACGGGTTAAAATGGATGCATTAATTACATGTGCCGGGAGAGCGTTCCAAGACTATGACACTCGGAGGTAGCACATGTTTCGCCGACATTCCAATCGGCTGTACTGCGTGACCAGCTAAAACTGATAACCCTTAGAGATGTGTTTTGACTGGGTTTCAAAAGAGAATGGCGTGGGTAGTTGGGGTTTATCAGGATCTCATACACCATTATAAGATCGCCTCTTATATGCCGGTAACGTCCGCTGCATAGTTTGAAGGTTTCAACCTGAGTGGGTAGAGAAAGTGGGATAAATGTCTGAAGTATTTTGTCGCCCTGCGTTGTGCAGTATCCAGCGCGGTGAGGTCATGCTTCTGCCAGGATTGCCACGCTCAAAGTACCATGATAAAAATCACTCTCAATTTCTGGTGTTTGTTGGTTCCCAGGGCATAATCAGCTAGAACAGCAACTGCCAGATAACAAAGATGACAATATGTTAAAATAACGATACAAGAGCAAACACTTACATGTTTTGTAGGTGGTGGCTTCGTAAGCAGCGCCGCTACTATTCCTACCGTTCCACTGATGCAAAACAGCACGATACTGAAGTGGAGATAGTGCAATTTTTGGACCATTGTTTCAGCTACTGTCGGCTTATGAGTTTCACCACAACCATACCGTGGGTAGATGGACTCCAAAATGAACCTGATTAGCCCGACGACCAGACCAGCCATCAGAGCACAGAAGGCCCCCTGTAGTGTGAAAATATGAGAGAGGTTTTCCATTTGGACAAAACTCAAAAGAACGATTCACATACTTCATTCACTCATGCGCATATTACTGCGACCAGTGAAGAATCTTGTTGAAGCTAGCTAATTTTTACGATTATGGCCTGCTGACAATGCCTGGATTATTCAACACCTGACCAATATCCAATTAGCAGTGCGATAACACAGTTAACAATAATAATAATAATAATAATAATAATAATAATAATAATAAGAGGATAGTGGATAGATAGTGGAAAGGTTTAAAAGTTTTACAAGGTTAATGTTTTGTGACAATGTCTGGATAATATCCATACGCTTATTTCTCAACCTTGAAAGTAGGAAAAGTTAAATACTAGCGCACTTTGTTTAGTCGCTAGTACGAAGTGGTGGTAGGACACCGAGTAGTATTCGATCGGGCAGTTCGGAGCATCGTAGTTATGAGGACCACTTATTGATAAGAACCATGCTGATAGGATTATTTCTTATTTGGTTATGTGGCTCCTCAGTAATATCACTGACGCCGTTTCCTGCTTGAATCTTACTCCGGTGTTCATTAGGTCACGCCTTATCCTTATCAATACAACTGGGACGATTTAGATTCACGCTTTCCACAGAACTTTCGAAGGATCTTCAACATAAGAGAGTTGTTGGTTTTACCTTAAAGTCGCGTCTATATTAAAGTTTGGATAGTGTGCAAACATGTTCCTGGTTGTATTCAACTATCAAGAAATGGTGTCTGGTTAAATGAGTCAGGATAAGTGAAGTTATCTAAGGTGTGAAATATTGTGTTCCCGCAAAGCAGGATTGCTCCCAGACCGGTAAGTGATTATTCAGGTAATTTCAACATTTAACCGTCAGTTGAGTATATCACTAGTTACCTTTATTCCGCAATAGTGCAGTTCTTGAACAGTACTAAAGCAGAAATTGAATCTTGCCAGATTAAAAGGTAACTCACCATTTCGTTGAATCGCGACCAAAACATAGCCATCAAGTATACAACGCAGACAGGTGGGGCCAAGTAGCTTGTAACAGACTGAATGTAGTGAAACAGTTCCCCACTGGATTGAACGATCGGTATCCAGGCTACCGAGATGCATATTAGCACGAGTGTGGAAACTCTGTGTTTAACGGAATAATGAACGATGAAGAAAATTTCCGTTATTCATTTAGGAACCCACATTTCTTGGCATTAGTACATGAAATAGAGGCTAAGTAAAATTAATCTGCCTCTATTGTTGTCGGTTCTAACAACTGTGGAGTAAATGAGGTTATTACGTTGAACGCAACGTTTAGGTGACCAAAAGGCACAGTAGAATAGTCGGCGGGACTTGTTCATCCCGGATGTGGAACTCACAATCAGCTATGCAAGTGCTCAAGTACGCTATCCGACGTTCACCGGGCACAACATAGCCAGCGATATCGTGCACACTCAACTGCCTCATATCCCCCAAACGTTTCCGTCTGGCTCTTGACAGTAGGCTTCTATTCACTTTATCATATCTGTTTTTATGTCTTATGAGCACATGTCTCGGTACCTGGATCGAAACTGATTAACCCAGCAGACCTGCATTTTGCTTCAACTACTCGGATTAACGCTCACTGTTTTACCCAGGCCTAACAGAGAGAGTTGTCTTGTGATTTCCTTTTATGACAATTTCCCGACGTAAAGCCAGCGCTGGCCTTATCTCTAGAGGCATACACGAGGAATTTCTTTAAGTTTGCCTCCGACACCAAAAATGGTGACTGTAGCGTCCGGGAGACTCCCCGGTTCGCCTGTGCAAAATTAACTAAAATTATTTCATCGTACACGTAGGCGACCGGGGTGGTTCGTTGAACTGATCGTTGAGTTTGAATGCTTGGGTGGCTCATTGCCATTGTTACTTGGCGCTCGTTTCGGTTGCAACGCGCGATTGCCCTGTGTGCCATGCGTCCTCCGTTCCCCTAGCTAGAGCGTCCACTGTATCTTTTTTATAGCTAGGTAACAGGAAGACTTTTACTGTACCAATACATGTTTCCTTACAACCCGATGTGCCTTTTCGAATCACTCGCCGGGCCGCCGATACAGGCTACTCGCTAAATGACATTTTTGGAAGACCAGCATATGAGCTCCCTAACAACGACACGACTGCTTTTATCGGTTGCTGCGTTAGGCAGTTACAGGCGGCAATATAAGGGATATACTGCTAATCTTTCGATTGTGTCGCAGTCACTGAGGTTGCCACCTGAAATCAACCCACCGGCCACCCACCCATAGTGCTATACCAAGAGGCGCTTTGACCGGATCGATAGCCTGTGCTTCATTCTGATGCCTGTCTGGATTCACTTGCAACCGCTTGTAGCCTGTCACGAGGAAAATCAGGTACGCCTGTGCTGACCCGACTGCTAACCGGTGTGTCATTGGAATGGTGAAACAATAACGCTTGGAATTGGTGGAGAGCTCGTGTTTCCAACTTAACGACGTGCGCAACTCGGAGGCGGAGATTCAAATAGTTCACTGCGGTGCGTTCTTTTGTTCCTAACTAAATCACACAGTTTCCAGGAATTTTACCGGCATTATATTAGGCGTGGATTCTCAGTTAAAGCTCAGAAGCTAGCATCCAGTTACCTAGCTCCTTTGATTTTGCTTCAGTGTATGTTGCTTCGGTTCCATTAGCGTGTCTACAGTAAGGACACGCTCGATGCAGAAAATGTATTATAGGCCAGGATGCTTTCATTTTAGTTCAACGAACCAAGGTAATCCGCACACCGGCTGGAAGCAGTAATAAAGAAATTACCCAAATCTGTGTAGGCGCTGTGGCCAATTACTTTGGATTACATGCCGACATGGGAGAGACACCTGAAAAATCTCCATTCGTAGCTGAAACGGCATGCGCTAAACTTGCATTAAAACGCGACAACCTCACATCGATTTTGCAACTTTGCAGAGTCTAGCTGCCCTATTTGAATCGCCCACAAATATTGCTAAAATGAACCTCACAAAGTGCAGTTTACTGATAGACTCCATTCCGTCTGAAGTACACAATGGACTACGCTGTTCACGCGATGCTGTGGTTTTTACTGTGCCAAACAATTTACCATTAAAACCTGTTCAGAAAGCTCTTCTCACTGCATGCGGTATGCAATATTGGTGGTCCAGCCACATCAGACTACGCGAAAATATAATGCGTTACGTGTGTCCCATACTTTTCCAGTTTCAAAATGAACTTATTGCTAAACAATTCATTCAAAAGCGCAATCTCATTGTGCATAATACGACTTTCATACATCTGAAAATTATGGAGGACAAACCCCGCTACAACGAGAGGTAAACCAAAATACCAAACTTGATATTTCTTCAATTAGTGGCCACCACAAATGTGAGACCAATACTCCGCTTCCTGCAAATAGGGGTGAAGCGATGATTAACAAAGTGCTTTTTAAAATTCACAGTGGATCACATAAATATGCGGACCGCTCTATTGCATTAGATGCTGTGTCCGGTAGAACATATAATTCTCGCACTTCGGAGTTAAGATCAACGTCAGGGGAAAAAATTGGTTACTGGAAGACCTCCACCAGGCCGCAGTTTCACGGCTAGGCATGATAAACCGACCAAGGCCCAAACGATTACAATCCACAAAACTAGTGATATGGATGGTGTTTCCTCTTGGAGAATCAGTCACACAGGGTTCCCCAATATTGTTTCCTGCATGCGGTGACAAGAACGAAGCAGCGAATAACAACTGCATTACCTGCTAAATCCTAATTGTATGTGAAACTGCTACCTCAAGCCTCGAACTGTCATGTCCCGCCCAAACTCTGCGCTGGCCAGTGTCCAATCGCATCGAGAATATAGATGGATCCGGTCAAATTGAGCGATAGTAAAAGGCCGGTTGACCTAGATTTATCGCAAGAATCACTGGATCACTCTCTATCATCATGTTGTTTGGATAGACGTAAATCCATTAGTCATAAAGTTATAGAAGACGTGCCACAATCCTTGCATCTTACACACGGTGTAATTGAGTACCACCACTTTCCGATTCCAATAACAAACCACAAGGATTATGCTGATGTTGGTGTATGGATTGACACCAGTGTGCATCCACCGCTTATGGTGAAGCCTTGGATATCGAGCGCAAGTAAAAGGGTTTTACTCATGGATGGAAATGACAGCGGCCCACTGACTTCTATCAATGCGTTACGTACTCAACAGCTTAGTAGTGATATGATGCGGAGGACACAATTTAACTCTCTAGCTCCCACAAGCTACTACAACAAACATGGGTTCTTTTCCTCGAACCGTTTTTAGTGGGCCACACTCAGTCGCAAACCCCTCCGTTGTGGCCACCTCCAAATAACTTTCCACTGTTGGCAATACATGCTCTTTTTCAGCAATTTCTAGCAAGCAGAGGTTTCTGCGTGCTGTGGTTAATAAGCTGTACTTTCGAAAACTTGACGGGCGGCATCTTTACGTGACTGTTCTCGGTTTTCGTTCGGCCTCATCTGGAATACTGCGTCTAGGCTTGTCCTCACTGCCTCCTCCAGGACAAAACGGGGCTAGTGAGGATTTTACGGGTGAGTACTAGGTTAGTTGAGGGATTACGGGGACAGGCTTACCCCGAACGTCTAGTTAGTTTGGGAATGCATTCAATGTACTACCGAAGGCTAAGAAGAGACCTAAACCTAACCTACCGTATCTTAACTGGGAATGTTGGTCCAGATTTATCTTGGCTATTCAGTTCCGCTAGACGGTCCGTTCTTCGCTGTCATTCCATGAAGCTGGACAAACCGCGGTCCGATGGGATTAGGGCGGAAATCCGGCTATCACACCAAGTTATCGAACGCTGGAACATGCTTCCGGAAAGTGTTATCAGAGAATCTACGGTTATGGGGTTTGAGCGGCAACGTGACGCTCTTGGGTAGCAACACGAAAGCTTTCTCATTTCCTGAGTAACTTGCATCTTCATACTTCGATTTTCCTTTCTCTACTTTTCTCCATGCATTGGCAATATCCTCTTATTTCCAGTGCACTTCTTTATGCTGTACCTTCTATTCCTCTTCCTATCTTTTGCTTACTCCACTTGACTGTCAGAGCATGGACTGCTAGGGCAGGAATCATGGGCAGTAACTGGCTGGCCAGGGTCCGATACGGGTGTTTCGTTTTAGATCCATCAAGACCTCAGAGCACTTCATCAATTCCTGGCTCAAGGATCCACTCAAGATGGAACACTCACGGGATTCTCCTATAGTCCCAATCCTACCCGAACTTGAACAACTTCTTGCATCCTCGAAGAATATACAGTTTATTTATTTGTTTATTTATTTATTTATAACAGATTCAATGGAAACGACACAGCCGAGGCACTTGTGTAAAGCAATACTTCCGAACAGCAAGCTCACCCATTCGTCATCCTCATAATCGGAACATTAGTAATTTAACACTTTGCCAACGCCCAATCAGAAGGGTTTATAGAATGGAGAATGATAACTCATGAAGTACGGGCACTAATACCCTAAGCGGACATTCGGCGTAAATGTATCCACACCTTATCAACAACTAACCGTCACAAACAGATAACATATGTACGAACATGAAGTAGTATCAGCGGGATAATTTTCTCGTATCTCACACTTTCTATCACCATAATCAGATCCACTACACAGATAACTCAGCATCATACACGTCAAATAAATAGCCGAACTTTGGGTCGACAACAAATGCGCCATCGGTAGCTGCCATGAGCGAGATCCTGCGAGGTCTCTGGTCGGGCGTAAGGTTTTTCGCGAACGCTGCTTCCTGGAGGACCAAGATGAACAATAACACTCAGTTTAGTCCACACAGAAATCATTTACTGCGGCCGACTCAACTTTTGCAGCATAAAGCCTTAGGCTATGCAGTAGCTTCCAAGTGGGTGTAGTGGCTGTAGCAACCAGCCATGTTCTCTGCAACGTTCGTAACTTGCACGTCACTGATTGGTTCGGTGGAGCTGTGCGCCACGGGGCGCATCTCCAATTTGCGGATTGGGGAACGCCTTCCTTGTGAAGGTAACTGTAAATAACTCTCGGATCTTCTCAGACGAGAAAATTAAGCATTAGAAGCGAATTAGCGGCAGCTTCCTAGAGCGTGGGCGTTCTT